GCTTTTTGCACCCAGATGGCGCTATACGGGACTTCTGACGCCTTGATGTGTAGGGCATTCCCAACGACCCTACGAGGGCTAGCCCGCGCGTGGTACAGCGGCCTGAAGGCCGGGACCGTCGCCTCCTTCGATCAACTTGCCAAGGACTTCGAGCTCAACTTCCTAGCTTACGCTCGACCAAAGCCGTCCGTGGCGTTGCTCCTCGGACTCAACCAGAGGGAGGACGAGCCCCTCTCCCATTTTGTGAACCGTTTTACGACCCAAATTCGGGGACTATCGGACGTTCACCCCTCTCTGTTGATGCAGGCGTTCATGACAGGCCTGCGGCCTTCTAGGTTCTTTTGGTCTCTCGTGGAGCGGCCCCCCGCCGCGGTCCCCGAGATGCTTCAGCGCGCTAGCCAGTTCATCGCCACGGAGACATGGATGGCTGGGAAGCGGGAGGAGCACAAAAAGGTCAAGTCGGAGCTGCCCCGACAGCAGCAACCCGCCGTGTCCCGGCGTAAGCTGGACGGATCCGACCCAAGGCCTCCCCTCCCCGCCTTGAATTCGTCCCGAACAGAAATATTTCTCCATGAGAAGGGGAAGGGGCTACTCAAGGATCCTCACCCGATGAGGAACCCGCGAGAGCTCGTGGACCGTTCAAAATATTGCCGCTTCCATCGGCAGCATGGATACGACACGGAACAGTGCCATGAATTGAAAAGGCAAATTGAGGAGCTTATTCGCAGAGGGCATCTCGGCCAGTACCTCCGGCCGGACGGAGAGCTATCACCACGCCCGGAAGGCCCCATCGAGCGACACATCGACGTGATAGCTGGCGGTCCCGCATCGGGGGGGGGGGCTCCACGTCGGGAAGAAAGGCGTACGCCCGAGCTGCCTCGGACGAAGCCCCCGGACACGAACCCGAGCCCGAAATTACTTTCTCGACCGGAGTATCCGAACAACCCGAGCACGACGACGCTCTCGTGATATCGGCCAGGGTAGCCAACGCGCAGGTGAGAAGGATCATGGTCGACACTGGGAGCTCGACCGACATACTTTACTTCGACGCCTTCCAGAAGCTCGGCCTAGCTAGAGAGAATATGAAGCCGATGTGCTCAGCGCTCACCGAATTCACTGGAGACTCAATATCACCCCTGGGGGCTATTACTCTGCCCTTGACCTTAGGAACCCCACCGAGGTCGAAGATGGTGATGACCACTTTTCTGGTGGTCGACCTCCCCACTGCTTACAACGCCATACTCGGTCGGCCGACCCTCAACAAGGTCAGAGCCGTCGTCTCGACCTACTACCAAACCATCAAGTTCCTGACTCACGCTGGGGTCGAGGAAGTTACGGGAAGCCCCCGAGAGTCCAGGCGGTGCTACCTGACCGCCGTTTCGTTACACAAGAAGGCCAAGATCGAGCCACCACTGGAAGATCCGCGGGAAACAAAAAAACCGGCCCCTCACCCCGAGCTGAGGGGATCCGCCGTTGATATACCACTACACAAAGCTTGGCCAGACCAGACGGTCAAGGTCGGTTCAGAACTAGCCGAACGGGAACGAGAGCAGCTCGTCGGTCTCCTATGGGAAAATGCCGACATCTTCACCTGGTCCCCATCTGATATGACGGGTGTCGATCCAGGGGTCGCACAGCATCATCTCAACATCCCACCTGACGCTCGCCCGGTGAAGCAAAAACCCAAGCGGCAGGCCCCTGACCGACAACGCGCCATACGAGAAGAGGTGGGCCAACTTTTAGCGGCAGGCTTCATAGAAGAAGCCAGATATCCTCAATGGCTATCCAATGTAGTCCTCGTGAAAAAACACAATGGAAGCTGGAGGATGTGCGTTGATTACACCAGTCTCAACAATGCATGCCCGAAAGACTGCTACCCCCTCCCGAAGATCGACCAACTGGTCGACGCGACGGCCAGACACGCACGCCTCTCTTTTATGGACGCCTATTCAGGATACAACCAGATCAGGATGGCGCCCGAAGATAGAGAGCATACGGCCTTCCTCACCGATCAAGGGGTGTACTTCTATAAGGTCATGACGTTCGGGTTGAAAAACGCCGGGGCCACATACCAGAGAACGGTGAATAAGATGTTCGCCCATCAGATCGGAAGGAACATGGAAGTTTACGTGGACGACATGATTGTGAAAAGCCAAGAGGCCGGAGCGCACCTTGCCGACCTGACCGAGGCGTTCGCCACACTACGCAAGTTCGGCATGCGACTTAACCCCATAGAATGCGCCTTCGGCATCACCTCCGGGAAATTCCTCGGGTTCATCATACACGAAAGAGGAATTGACGCCAACCCAGAGAAGGTTCGGGCAATCATCGACATGCAGTCACCCCGGACGATCAAAGACCTACAGCGACTTAATGGAAGGCTTGTCGCCCTCTCTCGCTTCCTCGCCCGGTCAAGCGATCACTGCCTCCCCTTCTTCAGGGCGCTCAAAAACCCGAAAAACTTCCAGTGGACCACGGAGTGCGAGGAAGCTTTCAAACAAACAAAGCAACACCTGGCCGGCCTCCCCCGACTCGCCTCTGTTTCTCCTGGGGAGAAGCTGGGCCTCTACCTAGCGGCCTCCCGACATGTAGTCAGTTCCGTCCTGATCAAAGAAAGCTCCGGCGAACAACTTCCGATCTACTACGTCAGCCACGTCCTGAGCGGACCCGAGGGGTGTTACCCGCCGATAGAGAAACTCGCACTCGCCCTGGTGCTATCAGCTCGGAAGTTGCGCCCCTACTTCCAGGCCCACCCGGTGGAGGTCATCACCGACCAACCTCTTCGGCAGGTCTTATCTAAATTTGATGTTGCAGGGTGGCTCCTCAAATGGGCGGTGGAGCTCGGCGAACATGATATAAGATACGTGCCTAGGACCGCCATCAAGGCCCAGGCGGTAGCCGACTTCATCGTGGAGTTAACTCAGATGGCAGACGGGGATCTCGAGCAACCTCCCGAAGCTTGGATCCTACACGTGGATGGCTCGGCCAACTCAAAGGGTGCCGGCGCGGGGCTGGTTCTGCTCGCCCCCGACGGATGCTCGTTCGAGCGCTCCCTCCGCTTCGGGTTTAAAGCCACTAACAACGAAGCGGAATACGAGGCGCTCCTAGCAGGACTCAGGTTGGCCCTCGAGATGCAGGTGGCTGCCATACGCATCCTCACAGACTCGCAGCTTATGGTCGAGCAGCTCATCGGTGGATACGAAGCTCGGGACCCAACCATGGCGAAATACCTGGCACGGGTAAGGGACCTGACTGCCAAGTTCCCTTATTTTACGTTATCTAATGTTCCGAGGGAGGAGAACGAGCGAGCCGACGTGCTAGCTAAGCTGGCATCAAAGCCGACCCCCGAAGCATGGCCGGAGGTCGAGGAGCTTCCTGCGCGCGCCGTCGAAGTAGTGGCTACGGCCCCTGGCAGCGCACCGATCACATGGGTACAAGAGCTGCTATGCTTCAAGCGGGATGGGACCCTTCCCCACGATGAAGTTGCGGCTCGACGCCTGCGTCGTACACACGCATGGTACACCGAGGAGAGTGGGCGGCTTTATAAGCAGTCCTTCACCTATCCCCTCCTGCGATGCTTGGAGCCCGACGAAGCCTAGACGGTCCTGGCCGAGATCCACGAGGGAATCTGCGGAGAACACATCGGCGGGCGAACCTTGGCACACAAAATACTCCACCAAGGTTACTACTGGCCGACCATGTGCCGGGACGCGAAAGCTTACGTGCAGCGGTGCGGTTCGTGCCAAGAACACGCCCGCACACCCCGACAGCCCGCGATCCCACTCAGCCCCATCGATTGCGCGTGACCATTCGCACAGTGGGGTTTGGACCTGCTCGGACCTTTCCCACCGGCTTCGGGGCAGCGGAAGTACATCATCGTAGGAGTGGATTATTTCACGAAGTGGGTTGAGGCCGAGCCGTTGGCGACAATCACGGAACATCAAATGGAGAAGTTCATGTGGAGAAACCTAGTGACTCGGTTCGGGTTGCCCAAAACCATTATTACGGATAACGGACCTCAGTTCGCCGGTAGAAGGTTCCAGGAGTTCTGTGCCAGTCATGGCATCCAGTTAAGGTTCAGCTCGGTGGCCCACCCTCAGACGAACGGGCTGGCAGAGGTGACCAATCGGTCCATCTTGGACGGACTCAAAAGAAGAGTATCTGCAGCCCGGTCGGCCTGGACGGACGAACTCCCTAGCGTACTATGGTCACTGCGCACCACTCCCAAGACCGCGACTGGAGAGTCTCCGTACAGCCTGACGTTCGGAACCAAAGCTGTCTTGCCATCCGAGGCAGCCATTGCCACCCTTCAGACAAGGAGCTATGACGAGGAAGTCTCGAACGAGGGACTTCGTGCCAGCCTCGACGTGCTCGAGGAGCGACGCACCGACGCACACCTGAAGGCCCTCTCTTACAAGAGAGCCGTCGCAAGGGTCTACAACAAGATGGTACGACCCTGGCCGATTAAGTTAGGCGACCTGGTCCTACGAAAGGCCGAGGTCAGTAACCCGACCCGAGCAAGGGGGAAGCTGGCCCCCAAGTGGGAGGGACCTTATCGGGTCGTCGAGGTAGTCTGACCGGGTACTTACCGACTCACGACAACGAACGGTTCTCCCTTACTGAGAACCTGGAATGTCTGGAACCTTAAGAGGTTTTTTGTCTGAAACGAAGAAACCTTTTCGTTTGAAGAAGAAGAAGTTTTCCGTCCAAAGAGGAAGAAGTTCTTTGCCCGAGGAAGTTTTTCCGAGAGGGAAGAAGCTTTTTGCCTAGGAAAGAAGAAGGAGGCAATAGACGAGAAAAGGAAAGGTTTTTCTTTTACTTAAAAAGCAAGCCAACTTACAAGACTCGACTTACACAAAACCAACTAGCAAAACAAAATACAAGACCCTTCTTTATTGTTGGGGGACCTCCAGGCGGTTGTCGAAGGGGACTTCCTCGGGCATGTCTACCTCTAGGTCCTCGGGGTGAGGAGTGAAGGGGTCCTCCTCCACCTCAAGACCAGGGTGACGAGCGCGAAAACGGGACGTGGCGATTCGGTATCCATATTCGAAGGACACCCGCCCCGTGCGCGTTAGCCCAAGTTCGAACCCCTCCGACCTCTTGTATGCCTCGAGGAGCTCCTTGTCTTTTGCGGGTCGAAGTCGGGCCTCCTCCGCCAGTGCCTCCGAGGCCGTCCTTGCTTCGACCTTCGCCTCCTCTAGCTTTTTGCTAAGGGCGCTCGCCTCCGTCCTCACCAGGCGAAGTTCGGTCCGCTCCACCCTCATTATTTTTTGGAGCCCCTCGTTTGCCTGCTTGGAGGCCTCAAGCTCCGACCGAAGGCGCGCCGCCTCCGCCTCAAGATCTGCCGCGCGCTTTTCAGCGGCCGCCACGGCCTCCGGGCCTGCCCCAGCTCGAACCTCTGCGACTTGGCGGTGGAGCTCGGCATTGCGATTGACGAGGCCCCCAATAACCCGGCCGGCGTCACGCACCCTGTCCATCAGGGTCGTCGCGTAGTGGAGGCCCTGCATAAGGAGAAACGAGTCAAGAAGGTCGGCGTAGGACAGGCGAACCCGAAAAGCGGAGACATACTTACCTAGGTCAATGACTGGCCGGACTTGTTGAGCAGCACCTCCGAGGGCAGGACGTACAAATCCCGAGCCATGTCAGGATGAAGCGCGCCTCGGAGGAACGCTGCGGAGGGATCCCCTTCGGCCCACACCCTATCCCCCCGGGACAAGCCCTCCCAACGGGCAACCAGGGGCTCGCTGGATTCACCGAGCGGGATCTCGCTCGCCAGCCGCGTCAGGTACGGCTCCCCGTCTCCGGCCGGGAGCCGGCATAGGTCGCGTACAGAGACAGGGCGCGGACGCTTCCCAGTCGCCCGCCGACTAGGTCCAGCCCCACCGCGACGGAAGCCCGCCTCAGGCCCCCTCGACGGGGTTGTCTTCGCCTTCTTCGAAGGGCGCCCATCCTCGACCTCCAACGGGGCGTCCTCCGAGCTGGGTTGCGGGCCGACCGACGGAGTTGGGAGAGGGGATTGCGGGTCGGCCGGCGGAACTGGAAGAGGGGGTTGCGACGCCTGATCCCCCAGGAGCGACCGGAGTTTCACCATTTCTACGAGGGACGGAAAAGGTTAGTGCCCAAAATCAACCACGTAAAAACCCGAACCAAACGTCATTAACGTACCCAGAGCTTGGCGCTCTGCATCGCCCAGCCATTGTTCGGTCATGGTCCGGATGGCCTGCGACCTGGGGAGAATCTCTCTGAGCCTCCCCAGAGCTTGGCGCTCTGCATCGCCCAAACAGGGGGTGGTGTTGTCGATCGCCCTCGCGGACCATCGAACCCCGAAGCCCTAGTCCTGTGCGCAGCTATTATAGAAAAACCTCCCCTTCCATCCTTTGTTACTGGAAGGGGCACCCCCGACACGAAAGCCCGTTCGGGCCGATAAGAAATAGCCCCCCGAACCCTTGCAAAGTCGATAACAAGAGAGAAAGAGGTCGAGGGTGGGGGTGATGTTGGCATAATGGCATTCCCCAAGGAATACCACCAGGTAGCGCCAAGAATTTGGTGCCACCTGTGATGGCGAAATCTGCCAGAGAGATAGACAAGACATGATAAGAGGATGAAGAAGAAAACGCAAACCCGCCTCCAGAGCATCCAGGGACAAGGAGAAGCCCTTCGGGACTGGGTCGTACGCCCGCTGTCCTGGCTCAGGGGCGCAGAGGATATGATCCCCCGGGATACTATAGCGCTCCCGGAGCCCCTCCAGCGAAGACCCGCTCACGGTGGAGTCGATATCATGCGGCCACATCAAAGCCTCGAGGGCTCGTGCCGCCTCCCCTTCAGAAGATTCAACGGGGGACGGAGGGGGATTTCCCTCCCCAGCTCCGGGGAGAGGAGAAGAAGGAGAGGAAGATGGAGAGGGAGAGGGGGAAGAAGAGGGCGACATCTCAACTGACCATAGAAAGAGGAAAAAACTACGCAGAAGGCCAGGGAGAGGACTGGGGAGGCGACAGCAGAACTCGAAGGAGGACACAGCAGCGAAAGATAGAGGTGAAGTCTGGCGTCCGCTATTTAAAGGGGTTATCCCGCCAGAACCAACGTCCCTTCGCCTCCCGAGAGCGGGCGGCAGCCCACCCGCGCACGTGCGTAGCCATCACGTCGCATCGGAAGACACCCAAAGGCGCTTCGCCTTAATGAAGGCCTGACGTGGCAAAACCGCTGAAGCGGTAGAAGCCGGATGCCTCGACCTCCACGCCCGAAGGCGTGCGGCCAACTCCCCCTTTCAGGAAATAAAATTAAAAGCGGTAGCTTTTTGATCCCTGCCGTCGCCAAATTTAAAGCAAAGCGGGACCACACCTGCGCGGTAGCCCGCCTGCGTTGTGCTCCTCGGCCCTCGGTTGCACGTCACCCGAGACCACACCTGCGCGGTAGCCCGCCTGCGTTGTGTCTCCTCGGCCCTCGGCTGCACGTCACCCGAGACCACACCTGCGCGGTAGCCCACCTGCGTTGTGCTCC